ACAACTAAAAAAATTTAAATATTAAATAATTAAATTATTAAATATTATTATTATTAAATATTAAATATTAAAAAATATTTCTGGAAAAGAAAGGGGGATAACAAATAGGTAAGTGATTTCTAGAGTATGAGTAAAGAGATGGCTTAACTGTAAATGGACAACACAGGGGAATTTTTTAAGGGTGATGGAACTGCTTTGTATTTTGATTGTGACAGTGTACATGATCATGCATTTGCTTTAACTCATGGAACTGTCTATCAAAAAGGTCAGTTTTACTGAAGGAAAATTTTAAAATCATTAAATATGTGACTCAGGAAGAAAAGCCAAGAGAGTTAACACTCCCCTCCACCCCCCCAAAAAAAGAAGTCTTATTAAAGTTCTAATCAAATGGGAAAATGTGTACTATGTTCTTCAATAGCATTTATTTTTACTTTAATTTTTGAGACAGAGTCTCACTGTGTTGTCCAGGCTGACCTCTAATGTGTTGTTTTTTGTGTGTGCATGGGGGGGTGTGGTGCTGGGGATTGAACCCAGAGGGCCTTGTGCATGTGAGTCAAGCACTCTACCTACTGAGCTATATCTCCACACCAGTGTTTTGTTTTGTTTTGTTTTTTGTGTGTATTGTGGATTGAACCCAGGAGGGCTTAACCACTGAGCCACATCCCCAGCCCTTTTTATTTATTTTTTTATTTTGAGATAGGGTCTCACTAAGTTGCTTAGGGCCTTGCTAAATTGCTGAGGCTGGCTTTGAAATTGTAATCTTCCAGCCTCAGCCTCCCAGTTAGGATTACAGGTTTGTGCCACTGCATGTGGCCAGCATTGGTTTTTTTGCTCAGGATTGCTTTGGCTATTCTGGGTCTTTGTTCTTCTGTATGAATTTTAGGATTGTTTTTTCTAGTTCTGTGAAAAGTATCATTGGCATTTTGGTGGAAATCGTATTGAATAACTTTGATAATATGGTCATTTTCACAATACTAATTCTGCCTGTCCATGAACATTGGAGATCTTTCATCTTCTGGTGTCTTCTTTGATTTCTTTCTTTAGTGGTCTATAATTTTCATTAGAGATGTCTTTTAACTCCTTGGTTAGGTTTATTGCTATGTTTTTTCCCTTTTGGTTCTGAGTTTTGAGCCCAGGAGTGCTTTGCCACTGAAGCTACATCCCCAGCCCCCGCCCCTTTTAATTGAGACAGATCTTGCTGAGTTTCCAAGGTCAGCCTGGAACTTGTGATCCTCCTCCTTAGCCTCCCAGGTTGCTAGGATTACAGGTATGCATCACTACACCTGGCTCCTAGATATATTTTTTTGAAACTATTGTGAATGGAATTGTTTTCCTGCTTTCTTTTTCAGTGGATTCATTATTGGTGTGTAGAAAAGCTATTGATTTTTTTTTTTTTTTTTTGCGTGTGTGTGGTCTAGGGATTGAACCCAGGGCCTTGTGCGTGCGAGGCAAGCACTCTACCAACTTAACCCCTAGTCCCTAGCTATTGATTTTTGTATGTTGATTTTTGTATTCTGCTTCTTTTCTTAATTTTTCAAAATCAGCTCTAAAAGTCTTTGGTAGAACCAGTAGGATATTCTAAGTATAGGAACTTATCATCTGCAAATAGGGATAATTTGATTTCTTCCTTTCCTATTTCTATCTCTTTTTATTTCTTTCTCGTATCTAATGGCTCAGGTTAAGATTTCAACTACTATTTGAATAGGAGTGGTAAGAGTGGATGTCCTCATCATGCTTCTGAGTTTGAAGGAAATGCTTTCAGTTTTTTCACATTCAGTATGATATTGGCTTTGGATTTGTCATATATATCCTTTATGATATTGATGTGAGTTCCTTCTATCCCTAGTTTTTCCAGGGTTTTTATCATGAAAGGATACTGCATTGTCTTTGGTTCTATTTATGTGGTGTATAACATTTATTAACTTGCATATATTGAACCAGCCTTGTATCCCTGGGATGAAACCAGTCTGATGATCATGTATCATTGAATTCAATTTGCTAATAATTTTCAGTTTATGTTCAATGATACTGGTCTGCAGTTTTCTTGAAGTGTGCTTTTCCAGTTTTGGTATCAGGGTGATATAGGCATTGTTTGGGGTGTGGAAGCATTCCTTCCCTTTCACTTTCATGGAGTAACTTGATGAGTATTGGTATTTGTTCTACTTTAAAGAAATGGTAAAATTCAGCTGTAAATCCATCTGGTTTTGTGTTTTTCTACATCAGAAGATTTTATTACAGTTTCAGTTTTCATAGTTATTGATCTGTTTAGGTTTTCTATATCCTCTTGGTTTAATTTTGATAGATTATAGGTGTCTAGAAATTTGTCCATTTTTCCTAAATTTTCCAATTTATTGAAATATAAATTTTCAAAATAGTCCCTAATAATTCTGTGGATTACTGTTGTGTCTGTGTGATATCCCCATTTTGTCTCTAATTTTATTAATTTGGGACTTTTCTGTCTTTCTTTGTGTTAGTTTGGCTAGGGTTTTATCAATCTTGTTTTTTCAGAGAACCAATTCTTTGTTTTATTGATCCTTTGTATTGTTGTTAATTTCTAGTTCTGTTAATTTCAGTTCTAATTTATTATTTCTTTTTTTCTTCTAGTTTAAGATTCATTTGGTCCTGTTTCCCAGGACCTTAAGATGCAGCATTAGATTGTTTGAAATATTTTATTTTTCTTTGCAGTGTTGAGCTTGAACCTAGGGACACCCTACCACTGATCTATAGCCCCAGCCCTTTTTATTTTTTATTTGTTCTAATTTGTTATACATGACAGTAGAATGAATTTTGACACATTGTACAAAAATGAAGCACAAAGTCTCATTCCTGTGACTGTACCTGTTTTTTTATCTTGTTCTTAACTAAGTTGCTAAGGCTGGCTTAGAACTTGGAATCTTCCTGCTCAGCCTTTTGAATTGTAGGCACAAATGTGTATCACCAAGCCTGGCTGGATTTTTAAATGTAGGCACTCAAGTGTAAAACTTCCTTCTTAGAACTGCTTTCATTGTTATGTTAGAGCTTCTGATATGTTGTGTTTCCATCTTCATTTGATTCTAAGAATGTTTAAAATTCTTAATTACAAAACCTCTTTAATGGAGAAGTTTTCCAGTTTATGTTTATGGAGTTGCCATTTCCTAGACTGTCTTGAATTTTATTAAAGTATATTTCTATCAATGTATGGATTTTTATCTTAAAATTTTTGTTTGAATCCTTCTCACATTTCCATCACTGCTCTGGGTTTATTTATATATTTCCTTTGTCATTTTGTGGGTTTTAGGAAGGGGGGGAAATAATTTAATATGTTGTCTACCATCTTGAAATGGAAATTATACATTATACCTAAAAGTTAAATAGATACACTTGAATTTATTTCTCTAAAAACATCAAAACTTAAAAAATTATTCTATCACTCCCTTCTCTACTGCTCCCCTTTGAAAAAGACAAAAATTGTTTTTATTATTTCTTCTCTATTAATTAGCTTTTAATGAAGTAATCTGGAATTTTAATTCCAGGTTGTTCCTTTTGCATTGTGTTACTTCAATTTTAATTAATGCTGAGAAAACTTATTCAGTTTTACCAATTACTTTAGTCATTACTACTTAGGCTTAACTCTAAACTCTAAATTTTGGAAATTTCTGACTTTATTGTAAGCCAGCTTATCTGTTTTTCCCCTGAGATGAGGTTTCACCTTGTTGCCCAGACTGGTCTCAAACTTGTGGACTCATGTGATCTTTCTGCCTCAGAGGACTATAGACAAAAACCACCACACTTGGCTGGCTGCAGTTTTTTTTCCCTTCCCCTTGTACTGGGGGATTAAATTCATGGGTACTCTACCACTGAGCTAAATCACTAGCCCTTTTTATTTTTTTATTTTGTGTCAGGATCTCACTGAGTTACTCAGACTGGCCTCAAACTTGAAATCCTCCTACCTCAGCCTCCCATTATAGGCATGTGCCACCACTCTGGCCCTGGCCATGCTTTTATTGAAGCATGTTTAAATAATATTTTTAGAAATAGTGTGAGGGATGGTTTATTTCAGTGTTCCTGCTGTCTAGAAATGTAGGGTTTTTTTCCCCTTTTAAACTTGATTGATAACTTGTCTGAGTTTAGAAATATAGGATCACAGTCCTTCCTCAGAATTCTATAAAGGTTTTTCCTTTAATTTATATCATTTAATGAAATAGATTAGAAGTTGAGTGCCTATTTGAAGTTTTTTCATTGGTTGGTAACCTGATACTTTGGAAACCTAGAATATTTTGTTAATTCAGAAATTAAGCCAGAGTAAATGTTTAGGTGTCTGACATTTTGATTATTCTCACTCTGACATTATAGAGCTTTTAGATATGAAAACTCAGGGATTTCTTGGGGGTGGGATTCTTGTATTCTTTTTTTATTACATTTTTGCATTCAGTTTCAGATACTGCTTTTCAAGATACTGATATTTTGTGTGTGTGTGTGTGTGTGTGTGTGTGTGTGTGTGTGTGTGTGTGTGTGTATGCTGGGAATCAAGCCCAGGGTCTTAATACATGCTAGTTAAGCACTTTATCTCTGAGCTACATCCCCAGTCCATAAGGTGTCGATGTATTTTGTAGGCGGTTTTATAATGTAGTTACAAAACGTAATAACTGCTGCATTGCGTGTGGAAAGAGTCAAAGTAACTATTTAGAAAGAACTGACTGGTGAAAATACATTCATACACATGTAGGAACAATAAAGCACTCAATTTGAGTGGTGTTAGAAATATGCATAAAGTGAGGCATGGTGGCTCATGCCTGTAATCCCAGTGGCTTGGGAGCCTAAGACAGGAGGATCAAAAGTTCACAGCCAGCCTCAGCACCTTGGCAAGGCCCTGAGCAACTTGGCAAGACCCTGTCTCAAATCAAAATACAAAAAGTGTTAGGGATGTAGTTCAGTGGTTAACTGTTCCTGGGTTCAAACCCTGGTATCCCCCCCAATTTTTTTTCTATGGCTTTAATTTGGAACTTGTTCTTCTATTTCAGGACCGGAAGTTAACCAAAGCTGAGCAGCAGCGGTTTAAGGAAGAAGCAGAGATGCTAAAAGGTCTCCAGCACCCCAATATAGTTCGATTTTATGATTCCTGGGAATCTATATTAAAAGGAAAGAAATGTATTGTATTAGTAACTGAACTAATGACATCAGGAACCTTAAAGACGTAAGTTGACGTTGATAGTGACAATGGAGTTTTATTTGAAAATAATTTCAAGGGTCATAACAATTATTTTTATACTATTGATTAAAAGTTTTCTTAAATGTGTTTTCTGGTAAGTAAAAAACTCAGGATGTTAATGAAGTATGTTAGAAAGTATGCATTACTGATAAATTAATATTTTTGGGATATCATAGAAGTTTAGCATTGGAAATTGTTATAGAAAAACATATAATTCCATTTTGTAAAGGAAAATAAATGATTGACAGCTTAGCCATATTCACAAATATAATGAGTAATACTATGTAATTGTAGTCTTACCTTTCTAATAATAATTTTTGTTTTGTAGTATAATCAGTTATACATAATTAAATGTAAGGTTTACTTTTAGTTTACTTTCTTAACATTTTTGTACTAAAATTTTATGTAATCAAACCTGGTGAGTCTATATTTAATAATTATTAGGAAGAAGAGATAGACAATCCTTTTAAAATTGTGCTTCCATTCCAAAAAGGCCACTCTGGCATGCTTCTTATTTTGAAGTAAAAATGCTACACTTGGTAGGATATCTTTTTTTGGGAGAGTCAGACCATTTTATTGAGGGGCAGGGAGGGGTTGAGCCATTGCAGTCACTTGAAAGTCAGTTTTCTTACATAAGAATGAATTCTTACATTAAAATTTTTTATAATATTGGACAACACAGGGATGGCAATCATAATGCATAAATGATCGTCTTGCTTATGTAATGTCCCCTAATAGTGTTTTTACAATAAGTTGTGGCTGTTTTTTTACATGTGGTCTTCTATTTCTTCATATAGGTACTTAAAACGATTCAAAGTCATGAAACCAAAGGTCTTAAGAAGCTGGTGCAGACAAATTTTAAAAGGGTTGCAGTTCTTGCACACTAGGACTCCTCCTATTATTCACCGGGATCTGAAGTGTGACAACATTTTTATCACGGGACCCACTGGATCTGTGAAGATTGGTGATCTGGGACTGGCCACCTTAATGCGTACATCATTTGCTAAGAGCGTCATTGGTGAGTAACGTTTTTATAGTTTACTAGTCGGGATAGGGAGCTTTCTCAATTGTATAGTTCTATTCCAGGAATGAGTTAACTATGGGCCAGCCATAGGCCAAATTTGGCCCACCGCCTGTTTTTGTAAATCAAATTTTATTGGAACACAGCCATACCTGCTAATATATGGACTCTCTATGGGTGCTTTTGCACTGCAGAGTTGAATAACTATGTGACAGAGACCATGTAAACTGCAAAGTCCAATATATTTACTATCTGGTCCTTCACAGAAAAATGTACTAACTCTGGCCTACACTGTAAATGTGCTTTGAAATATCTATTATATATATATATATATATATTAACTTATTTCAGAAATGTCTTTGTGTATTTTTTTGTAGCATATATTTAGGATTATTGAAAGTTTCTGAGAACTTATGAAAGTTTATTAAATGAATCCAGAAAATTTTGAACTAAAAAGAATAGAAATAAAAACAAATTTTATTAACCATAACCTAATCTTGAGCATTATAAATTTTAATTTATCAGTATGGAAAGTTAAGGAAATTCTGTAGGTGCTTTGTTTATATAATACAAATTTTATACTTTTAGATTTGCTTTTTGAAAGCAGAAATTAACATGGATAATCTTTAAGGAAATGGGTACCTTGGTGGATACAGTTTCTCTTTAATCAAAATATGGCTATGGTGTTATTTTGTAGGAACACCTGAGTTTATGGCTCCAGAAATGTATGAAGAGCACTATGATGAATCCGTAGATGTCTATGCTTTTGGAATGTGTATGCTGGAAATGGCTACTTCCGAGTACCCTTATTCTGAGTGCCAGAATGCAGCTCAAATATACCGTAAAGTTACCAGTGTAGGTATAACTTTATTCTTTTTACTTTACAAATTCCCATATTTCATGTTGAAGTTGGTAAACTTGACTTAGTCAAGCCTAATTTTGGGACTGCAGTTGTTACTCAGTGGTCAAGCATTTGCCTAGCATGCATGAGTCCTGGTTATAATCTCAAGATGTGTGTGTGAGAAACATCTAATTTTGGTTTAGTTTTGTATAACAGTGTTACATTAACAATTGTGCTGTGTTTTGGTTTAGATGTGATGTCCCCCAAAAGCTCATGTGTGAGACAATGCAAGAAGGTTTGGAGGAGAAATGATTGGGTTATATCCTTAACCTAATCAGTGAATTAATCCCTGGAGGCAGGTAGGGTGTGACTGGAGGAAGTGGTTCATTGAGAGTGTAGCTATGGGGTAGATATTTTGTATCTGGAGAGTGGACTCTCTGCTTTCTGATGGACCTGTGAGCCACTTCCCTCTGCCACACTCTTTTTTAAAATTATTTTTTAGTTGTAGATGGAAACAATACCTTCATATTACTGTTTTTTTTTTATCTAATGCCAAAGATCAAACCCAGTGCCTCATGCGTGCAAGCACTCTACTACTGAGCCACAACCCCAGCCCCAAGTATTTTTTTTTTCTTTTTGTGGTGCTGGGGATTGAACCCAGGGCTTTGTGCATGTGAGGCAAACACTCTACCAACTGAGCTTTATCTCCTCCCACCCTCTGCCATACTCTTCCACCATGAAGTTTTGCTTCAACTCAAGCCCTGAGGAATGGAGCTTGCCTTCTGTGAACTGAGATCTCTGAAACCTTGAGCCCTCAAATAAACTTTTCCTCCTTTACAATTGTGCTGGTCAGGTCCTTTAGCCACAGCAGCAAAAAATCTGACTAAAACAGACTTGAGATAATCTTTAGATTTATAATACATACCTGTACCCTATTGGGGTCATCTAAAATGCTCTATATTAGTGTCTTTGGGAAAATGTACAGGTGTTATCATCTGTATTCTTTCATTTGTAATGAAGTTTTAGATATTTATTAGATGGATCTTATTCTTCAAATCTGAATAATATTGACAAGAAGGATTTGAAGGTTTCTTATAGTTTTACAAGCCTGATTATGAAAGGCAATTTAAATATAATTCAACAGATACAGTATTTGAGTCCTAGGTATATGTAATTTTTCTGTTAGAGCTTGTAAGGAATGAAAAGATGAGGAAGAGGTGATTTCTACCCTCAAGTATCTTATATTCCTAGTAGGGGAATAATATAAATTCACAAGCAACTATAAAATAAGAGGAGGAGAATATAATTAAAATATAAGGAAATAGCAACAGGAGTTTTATGATTGTTCAGAGGACGACTACTTCATATATAGTCGAGTGGCTCAAGATAGGCCATGGAAGAGATTATTGTGAAATAGCTAATACTAATAGATAATGCTTTTTTTAAATTTTAATTTGTTATATATGACAGCAAAATGCTTTACAATTCATATTACACGTATAGAGCACAATTTTTTTCATCTCTGGTTGTATACAAAGTAGAGTCACACCATTTATGTCTTCATACATGTACTTAGGGTTAGATAATGCTTTTTAGCCCCTTAAAATTACTATTATTTTTAATAGAAAAAACATAATTGTGTACATTTATGAAATACAGTATGATGTTTTGATATACGTATATGATATGTAATGATCAAATCAAGCTTGTTAACATATACATCACATTTCTTGCTTATATTTTTTGTGATGAGACATTTGAAATTTACTGTAAGTTATTTTGAAATATGCACTGTATTATTATTGACTATAGTCACTCTGTTGAACAAAAGATCTCAAAACTTATTCCTGTGGTATAATTGCAACTTGTACCCTTTGACTATCAACTCCCCATTATCTCCTTTCCAACCTTTGGTAACCACCATTCTATTCTTTATTTCCATGAATTTTATTCTTTTCAATTTCACATATAATATGATTATGTTATATTTGTCTTTCTTTGCCTGTCTTATTTTATTTAGTACAATGTTCTTTAGGTTCATCCATGTTATTACAAATGACAGAATTTCTTTTTTAAGGGTTAATAGTATTCCATTTGATGGGCATTTAAGAGACTTAAGAGTAGTATTGAGCTGGTAAATGTTTAGCAGTTGATTCCATGAAAAACAAAAAAAGAAAAGCACTGATTTCTAGTATTTGCTAATTTTTGTGGTGTGAATACTTCCATCTTGGCTGATTTCAAGTTATTGGTGTGGCCTCACTGAATGCAAACTTGGGAAGAGATGCATACTGGCACTCATTGTATGATATTTCCACTACACATATACAATAGCTATCAACAATCTCAAATGCATAAGTAATGACAAAATGTGGTAAAATATGGAATGGTGTTTTCAATATTTATTACCTTGGCTTTTAATATAATTTATTTATTTGTAAATTTATTTAATTCATTTTTTTAATTGGTTGTGTTTAAATTGCTTGCAAATTTCTTGAAAATGTAATAGCTCTTATGAGTTTATATGAGAGCTCCAGCACACCATATACGTGATATATAGACTTTGGATCTTGACTTGAACAAACCAACTATAAAAGAAACTTCACTTGAACAATTTTGAAAATTTAAAAGTGGACTGGGTTTTAAATAACACTAAGGAATGATTATTTGAGGAGGGAAATGACTTTTTTTTTTTTTTTTGGCAGTGCTGGGGATTGAACCCAGGGCCTTGTGCATGTGAGGCAAGCACTCTATCAACTGAGCTATATTTCCAGCCTTGGGATAATGACATCTTTTAAAAAAGAATCTTATCTATTAGCGATATAAACTGAAAAAATTGTGGATCAAATTATATGATGCCTTAGATCTCCTTTAATGTGCTCTAATATATGAAAGTTATGTAGGTAGATAGATGAAACAAAGTTTACGAAATAACGATTGTTTTTGAAGCAAATGATAGTTATGTGGAGCTTCAATATTCTATTCTTTTTAGTATGTTTGAAATTTTCTTTAAGAGCACAGTAAAAGAGAATATCATTTTAGTTGTGGCTCACATTTTGGAAATCTCTAAGTAGAAAAGTATTTTGTACTTGATTTGTAAATTATAGTTCCGCAACTATTTTCACTTAGAAACAGAGAAAGGCAATAATTACTCAGGGCTGGGAAATGGATAATAGGCTAGTGGAAAAGTCAAAGATGACTGTTTCTATAAATAGAATAACACAAGTTCATTTTTAATGACTTTGTTATTTTACCTTAAACTCACAGAATTACCATATCACAATTCATATTTTCGTTTATCTTAAAATGTGTTGAATTTGGGTTCAAATTAACTCCTTATCTTACCAGATTTGTCAGTATATGATACTGGATTTTCTGATTCTGTGGTGTGTAGGGTAGTGTGACAGGCATAGAAGTAGATCCCCCTCCCCTTTTTTGGTACTGGTGATTGAACACAGGGGCACTTAACCACTGAGCCACATCCCCAGCCCTTTTTTAAAATTATTTTTTATTTTGAGACAGCATCTTGCTGAGTTGCTTAGGGCCTTGCACGTAGTTGCTGAGGCTGGCTTTGAACTTGGAATCCTCCTGCCATAGCCTCCAAAGCCACTGGGGTTACAGGTGTGCACCACTATGCCCACCTAGAAGTAGATCTTGAATTTCCTCTATTCATGATAATTTTTATTTCTATTATATTATTCTGTTACTAATTTAATTAGGAATTTTGTATCAAATGATTGCAGTAATATATTGATTTGAAAAAAATCTAGAACTCAAATAAAAGGTAATATAACATATAAAATAAGCAGATTCAGGCAGTTAATACATTTATCATAGGAATATTTAATACATTTTTTGGACCTATTCAACATTATGAATTATGAATTTTTGTGGAACCTGTTAATTACCATGTAGGATTCTGTTGGTATTACAGTATTGCTTAAGTAGAAAAATATATATATTTCTCAAATTTTCATACATAGGCATATACATTTCATGCATGCACATATATATATATGTGTGTATATACATACACAAACTGGTTGTTTATTGATTCTTGCCATTGTAGAAGACTTTGAATTATATTGAATTGGAGTATTTGAAATAAAAATACTTTATTTGAAATTTTCAAAAGTTTTTAAAATAATAGTTCTCTGATTCCCAAAAGTAGTTATTATAGGGGTTGGGATTGTGGCTCAGTGGTAGAGCACTTGCCTGGCATGTGTGGGCATTGTGTTTGATCCTCAGCACCACATAAAAAAATAAATAAGTAAAATAAAGGGATTATGTCCATCTACAACTAAAAAAAATAAAAAAACCAGTTATTATAATTTTTCTAATTGGTTTTATACTATATGTACATATTTGGGTCCTTCTTTTTCCCTATTTGATATTAAATCATGAGGATTTTCTATATCATTAATTATTTTTACCCCCTTTTTTTCACTACTAGAAATTGAATCCAGGAGTATTCTACCATTGAGCTTTATTATCTGAACTCTTTTTAGTTTTTATTTTGAGATAGGATCTTAGTTGCCCAGGTTGGCCTTAAATTTGAGATTCTCCTGCCTAATCCATCTGAGTTGCTAGAACTACAGTCATGCATTGGCTACTTTGAGAACATTTTTAGTTTTTGTGTACTATCATATAATATAAAACATAATATATAAGTTTGTCTTTATTGTTGGTTATTTAGCTTTATAATTTTCACAGTTATTTGTAGAGTTATGGCAAAATTTTAGTTAAAAAAGTTATTAAAGTTTTTCCATATAAATATATATATTTATCTCATTTAAAACTGGAATGTGATTTAATGATAAAAATGATGTTAAAACAATCATGTTGATTGGATTTTCAATTGCTTAATTTGTGGAAAAAAACATGTTTGTTCTTCCAGGGCATTAAACCAGCCAGCTTTAATAAAGTCACTGATCCTGAAGTGAAAGAAATCATTGAAGGATGTATTCGTCAAAACAAATCTGAAAGGTGGGTGCAAGTCTAGTGAAATGACATAACTGATGGATGTATTTTTTTCTAATCATACACTGGGTCATTTTTTTGTCCTTTTACTCATGCTAGGTATGACTTTTGAGTGGAAGCCAAACCATATGGTATAGAGTGAAGTGTATCAATGCATGTTGTTTGACATTTTAGACTTTAATATTATGTGCTGAATTTTCCTTGAGCTGACATTTGGGTTGTTTGTGTGTATATATTCTGACAAGCTTTCATCACCTTTAACCATCAGCTTAATAGGCAGTAAGCCTACACAGGTTACCTTGCTTCTACCAGTTGAGGGTAGATAGATATATTTTATTTGATCCTATATCCCTGTGTCACAATAATGATAATGTTGATATAGTTGTTTTTGTTTCAGAAGTAATATTGTAGATTTATTATTTGTATCCCAGTGTGTGTTTTCTTATGAACAAGTCATTTTAGTCTTATCTTTTACTTCTCTTTAATTTGAGCCTTGGAAAATTACTGACTTAAATTAGTGGGTACATCTTTTAATTTTTACTACCTTATCAATGATATATACTTTAAACAAACAAATAATCTGCATCAGCGTTTCATTGACCCTCCACATTTTTATTAGTTTTCTAACTTGATTTAGTATTGTATATCTGAGAATACAATAGACCTTAGGTCTATTGAATTATGGCTTTATTATAGAACACTTAATAAAAGCTAGGTGTGGTGAGACAGGCCTGTATAGCTACTCTGAGTGGCTGAGGTGGGAGATTAGCTTGAACTCACAAGTTCAAGAAGACTATATCTTGAGCAACATAATGAGACCCTGTCACAAACAAAAATTTTAAATGGACTTGACAGGCCTGGTGGTTAATGCCTGTAATGCTAAGTAAGGCAGAGGTAGGAGGATTGCAAGTTCAAGGCCAACTAGGGCAACTTAGCAAGACCCTGTCTCAAAATAAAAAGAGTTGGAGATGTTGCTCAGTGGTACAGTGCCACTGGGTTCAATCCCCTGTACCAAAGTAATAAGAACAGTAGTAATAATAGTAAAAAATGTAGAGGGTTGAAAATCCTCCATTTATAGGACACCAAGTTGTCCACATGATTCTTTTCTGTTTTAAGTGGTACAGGAGGGGCTCTCTACATAGACATTAGGCAGTATATTAGTTTCAGCGCCCACTGGCCTGTAATACAGATTGATTAAATATTATATGTCTTTTAAACATTAGTTGAAGAAGAAACAATTGTCCTTCCTTATGTTTTATTTTCTTCTCAGTGATGGTTAATCCTTGATATTAAGCTAGAGTTGATTCCATTATTTGTACACTGTGGCCTAGAGCCAGAGTTAAATACTTTAAGAAAACCACTGGACTTTGCTGAACCACATTAGCTACACCACAACGTTCTTCTAAAGAGTGAAGCACACCATTGCTAATGAAGTCAATGACATAAATATTTGTGAAACAGTTTTAATTTCTAATTTACTTTAGAATTTATATTGTTGGGGGAGTTTTTGTTTCATTTGCTGAGATTCTATTATTGGAGTTGTGGTAACTTAAGCTGATGGTTTAAGGAAAATCAATCCACCCAACATGTACTTCTCTAATTCTTTCTATGTATACTTTTATATATGTTAAAGTTCATTATATAGTAGGTGTGGTGGCACACTCCTGTAATCTCAACAACTGGGAGACTGAGGCAGGAGGATTGAATGTTTGAGGCCAGCCTGGGCAATTTAGCAAAAGCTTGTCTCAAAATACAATGAAATGGACTAGGAATGTAGTGCTATCACCTGGGTTCAATCCCCACTACAGAGAAAAAAAGCAAAGTTTGTTGTCTAGATGCTTTACTAGTAATAACTAATCTTTTTATTTATTTTTTCCGTGTTACTGGGGGTTGAATAGAAGGGTACACTACTACTGAGCTATATCCACAGCCCTTTTTTTCAGTTTTTGTTGATGCTGGCCTCAAATTTAAGATCCTCTTGCCTCAGCCTTCCAAGTCAATGGAATTATAGGCCTGCACCACTATGCCTGGCATAATTAATCTTTAATTAAAGTTATTATATATGCATGTTATTTGGGATTTCTTTGTATCCTTTACAAGATTTGGTTTTATAACAAAGCAGATTAATGGTTTAATTACTAGAAAATTTAAATAAGGTTGTTGCTTTGGTAGAAATAATTTTGACTTATTATTGGAAGAATTTATAATGAGATATGTATTTTGCTTATTAGGTTGTCTATCAGGAACCTACTAAACCACGCATTTTTTGCTGAGGATACAGGACTGAGGGTAGAGCTAGCAGAGGAAGATGATTGCTCAAATTCATCCTTGGCTTTAAGACTCTGGGTTGAAGACCCTAAAAAATTAAAAGGCAAACACAAAGACAATGAAGCTATTGAATTCAGTTTCAATTTAGAAACAGATACACCTGAGGAAGTAGCATATGAAATGGTAAGTTTTACCACTGTTTTCCCCTGCCATATATGGTATCAGGTTTGATTACTTTCTTGTATTCATTGCTTTCTTTTCTCTCACTTTCTCCTGGTTTTTGTTTGTTTGTTTTGTTTGCTTGTATATTTTCAGAATAGGGAATTGAACCCAGGGGCACTTTACTACTGAACTATATCCCAGACCTTTTTATTTTTAATTTTGAGACAGATTCTCATTAATCATGCAGGCTGGTCTCAAAGTTGTGATCCTTCTACTTCAGCCTCCCAAGTCACTGATATGACAGGCTTGTATTACCATGCCCAGTCTTTCACTGTCTCCTGTTTTCTTTATTTAAATTGTTGTGTTATTGTGAAATGTATCTCAATAGCAGAGTATACAGGATTTGTATGCACACTGTAAAGAACAATAAAACACTACATTTGTTAAGAAATAGAACATTGTCATTGCCTTTGAAGCCACCAGTGTGTTGCTCCCAGCTACATTCCCCTTTCTCAGCTCCTTAGGCAGTATCTATCCTGACTTTTCTGTTACTTATTCCTTTGCTTTTCATTATAGTTTACCTAAGTAATATATTGTTTTATTTTGTAAACCTAATAGCAAACACACACCTAGCTGGCTACACAGGGGCATTATTAGTATAATTAGATGAAAAACCCCAGGAGAGGATAAACTGAAGAGAGTCTCTGGATCAACATCTGGTTTCAGCTTCCCTAAGAGCATACAAGAGCTGCTTCTAGGGAAATCAGAGTATGCGATTAAGAGTAAGTTCAGGGAAATAAACCCATGGATCAGCACAGTCAGAATACTGGAAAAGGCTGTTGTACAGATCAGAAATTAGTTTGGTAACCATACGGTTGGACAGGAAGTGGACCACTCTGATTTTTCCATTTCTAATTTCTCTGTGACCAGCCCCCACCCTCAGTAGATCATAGCCTGTAACTAACTGCTAGGAGGTGTAATGCATGTCTACACCTGCTCCAAGCATCTGCTAATACTGATAGGAAGGGCATGCATAAGTTTTAGCAGCATTTAATCAAGACTGGCTGGATATTTTGACCTCAGGTTAAAAAGGATGGGACAGTGACAGTGGGGATCTTGGAGATGATAGCCCTTTACATTATTGAATTAAGGTTATGCTGTTCTAATCTGAAATGTTTTCCTTGGACATCTGGTGTACAATTGGCATCTGGATACTTACCTTTTTACTATCTTCCTAGATTTTTCTTTGCCTCACTCTTGTACTGGGTTTTATGTTTCCTAAATCCCATGTTTTTTTTTTTTTTTCTTACCTGGCCTGTCCTTTTGTTTTAGTGGAACACTTTTCTGCTAGCTTCTTTTCTTAAAGTTTTGGGGTATTTTTGCAGTACTGGGGACTGAACTGAGTGGCACTCTACCACTAAACCACATCCCCAGCCCTTTTTATTTTTCATTTTGAGACAAGAGTCTTGCTAAGTTGTTGGGTCTTGCCTCAAACTTGTGATCCTCCTAAGTTTCCTAAATTGCTGGAATTATAGACATGTGCCACTGAGCCTGACATTCAAACATATTTTATATATCTTTGTATTGTTTTAATATTTACAATGAGCACATGATATTTTAGAATGAGTAAAACAATGTAAAATGACTTAAATTTTAAAAAAATCTATAAAACTAAAAATCAGTATTCCTTTGATTCTGCCGACATGCAGAGGTGTAAAAATTCAATATATCCTGTCTATACTGTAGTATAGTGTTTTAAGTTTTCTGCTAGCTTGTTAAGAAAGGGGTACATAGGAGATAAATACTTTGAGACTTGGAAATACAAAAATTCCTTTTTCCATCTTTGTATTTAATTGATCATTTTGGCTGACCAAGGCATTTTTGGTTGACAGTTGTTTGCTTTTTTAAAATTTGAAGTCATTGCTACTTGCTCATCTAGCTTTTAGTATCATTGTTAAAAAGTCCAGAGTTGTTGTGATACTTGATTGTTTACATGTGATGCATTTTTTTCCCACTCTGGAAGATCTTTTTCTTCTCAGTGATCTAAAATTTCACAGTAATGTATCTTGATTTGAGTCTGTTTTCATCCACTGTTGCATACTCTGTGGATCCTTTCAATCTGTGAAAGCATATCCTTTAGTTTCTGGAAAGTTTCTTGAAGTATTTTGATTTCTTGTTTGTTTCTCCTTCTGGAACTGCCAGTTATTTGGATGTTGGGCCTCTTAGAACTGGTTTTCTAATATTCTCATCATTTCTATTTTCCATCTCTTTTTCTTTTTATTCTCCTCTGGTAGATGTTAGCAACTCTGTTTTCTAACTCTTCTATTGAATTTTTCATGTTTACTAATGTGTTTTTAATTTTAAGAGTCCTTTTTCATTTTTTTATCTATTCCTTTTTAGGGTAAATATCTTGCACTTTGTTTTGTGAGTGCACTATTGTCACACCTCTCTATAAAATTAGTATTTTTATCTCCTCTTTTGAATAAAGAATTTATTGTTACATTATAAATTACTACAAATTTAGTAGCTTAAAACACCACCTGTTTACTATCTCTCGGTTATATAGGTCAGAATTCCTGGTAAGCCTTACTGGATTCTCTGCATAGGATCTCACAAGCCTCAAATCAAGGTGTTGTCTAGCCTGTTCTTATCTGGGAGTTCTGTTGTGAGATCCTTGTTTCCTTGCTGGATGTTAGCTGGAGACTGTTTTCAGTTTCTTGAAGCTGCTTTTTAGTCCTTTCATGTGCCCAATCATGTCTTCAAAAAACAGGGTTGGCTTGGTGAATCCTTCTAGTGTCATCTGCTTGTAAAATATCACTCAGATAATCTCCCTAGTTTAAGGTCATCTGTGCTATATATACAGATACAATAATGATGGGAGTGATATCTCATCATGTTCACAGGTTTGGCCATCAGGTGAGGGCGTCCTTTAGGGGCCATTAATTTTACCTGCTACAGGAACTAACAAACTATCTGGATGGAATTATTGCTTGCATAATAAGACTTGTTAACTTTGACTACTATAGAGTACTTGAGTGGGCCATTATTATGGGAATCTCAGATTGTTATTTATAAATCTTTCATTTTCCTTTGGTAAGATTCTCTAGAGAAGCATTTTTCAGTCTCCTTCCTGGAGAATAAGGGTATTAATACCAGAATTTTGGTAACCAAAAAGGAAAAGGTCTGAACATTTCTGCATTTGATATCCAGCTGTATATGGTCGCTTAATAGTTTTGTTTTTAACATGGTAGCCATAATATCAACTGTGTTTGATGTTCTGAAAACCAGAGATACTTTCTTTTGCCCTCTTCAGAGAACAAAACCCTAAATTAATGGGTAGGGAGAAGCAATCATACAAAGGTGTGGAAGGAAGGGTGAGATGCTGAGACCTAAATAATTGCTTCATAAAACCTTATAACTGAGTCTTCCTTATTTTCACTTTACCTTCAGTTATGAAAGTACCTAGTACCATCAGTTCCTGTGGTTTATGATTATTCTTCAGTATAAATGGTTCTTAGTTTTCTGTAGTTCACCTTTCCCAGTTTTTTTTTTTTTTTTTTT